TGAGTTATCTTGAAAAAAGCCTAAAGTTTAAGCTAAAGTTTACCTCTCGACAACGGTGACAACGGTGCTTTGCAGACTGTGGCTTGTTGTCGCTTTCACCAAAGCTTTCGCCTTCCGAATCGGCATGGAAGACAGTGCTGCTTGCGATCATTGTGGCAGCGATAAAACAATAGAGCATGCTCTCCGTTACTGCCATCGTTACCACGTGCAAGGACGACAGCTAGCTGCTGCGCTAGCTCGCCTTGACGACAGACCCTTGTCAGAACAGTCAGTGCTTGGAAAGCGACATGATCTCTCTTCGCACAGAAAATCAGTGAAGGCCTTAATAAACTCTTTGCGTGGTAGTGACCTATTAAATACGCTATAGCACGCCAGCTCATTTTTTTCTTTTTCGCGCGTCTATTTCGCTCTTCGCTTCCTTTCCCATCTTTCTTCTCCATTCTCCCTGCTCTCATTGCAGGGTAGCAAACCTGATGGTCCAATTTCTGGTTTAACTCCCTACCTTTCTCTCATTTTATTCCCTCTCTTTCTTACCTCCCGATATGTTAAACTAACCGCATGCATGACTTTCATACGACCTGCACTTCAGTACGGAAGCATAATTTATGATGCACATAGAAAGAACGAAATGAATTCGAAAAAAAAGAGATGGGCAGCAAGATTCATTAGGTCAAAATAATGTACACAAATCAGTGACCGAAATTCTTGCTCAAATAAAGTTGCCTTGGCTTTCAGTGCGACGAAAAGTGGCTAGACTCAAATTTATTGCTTCAATAAAACACGGTAGCTTTAACCATCACAGATACATACAAAACAGAATGTCACGTATTTCACTGTCTGTCAGATCTAGCCGTCAGGATCAATTTGTGCCCATACCTACACAGGTTGACACCTATAAATACACCCTTCTCCCGAAAACGATTTCGGAGTGCAACTTGCGACCACATATTATAACTAAAATTAACTCATCGAAAAATTAGAAAAAATGGCACTTGCCTAATATTTTTCTACGTAACCACCTGAAAATGTTATTACCTTTTTTCGGTGATTATAAATTTGAAGTATACGGAACAGTGTTTGTTCAGTGTAGTCTTTGTGATTGTGCTACTTTCCACGGAATGTTGGTCACTACTTTGTGAAAATTGAACAATTTGGGCGTTGCATTTTTTTAGCTGTATTTGCCTTTTAGTTTGCGTGATCGCCGTCATGGTGGTCTAGTGCCTAAGGCACTCGGCTGCTGACCCGCAGATCTCGGAATCGAATCCCGGCAGCGGCGGCTGCACTTTCGATGGAGGTGAAAATACGGTAGACCCGTGTGGTCTATTCTGGGTGCACGTTAAACAACCCCAGGTGGTCGCAATTTCCAGAGCCTTCCACTACGGCGTCTATAATAACGACATGGTGGTTGTGGGGTGTTAAACCACACATATTACTTCGTTTGCATTGCGACTACAATGTTCTGTATGGTATAGGTTTGTTTTGAGCTCTCAGATGCATTATCTCTGTTCATTTCACTGTGTAGTGCTATTGTTTTTGAACGACGTGTGAAGAGTATTTTAATACTTCATCTTGTATTGGCCTTTTTGGTAACAATATCATAAATAAGTAAATAATAAATGTCGCGTATGCAAGCCGAACTCTGACCTCTGCAGAGAAGAGGTACTCGATAACCGAACAAGAGTGCTTGGCTGTTGTCTGGTCCATCCAAAAATTTCGTCCGTACCTACATGGTCGACATTTTACTGTTGTGACAGACCACCATGCTCTTTGCTGGTTGTCCACAATAAAACTTGTCGGGAAGACTTGGCCGCTGGATTCTCCGATTACAATCTTATGACTTTGACGTCATCTATAAGACTTGAAGACAACATCAAGATGCCGACGCTTTGTCACGATGCCCTTTGCCGCAGTTTTCGGCGCACGTCACATCCCCTTGTCAAATTGGCTACACGGAGGACGCCTCGTCGATATCATCCATTTCTTCCCTACCTTCATCCACCCATCCGTCAGTACTTACTACTCACCAGCGAGCCGATTCTTATTGCACTGACATCATTGGTCGGTTTACCGGTGCTTCGTCTTTCCCTAATGCCAGGCTCCGGAAACAACTCCGACTATTCAAGTTAGAAGACGATGTGCTGTATCGATACATTTTCCACCCGGAAGGCCACCGATGGGTCCCCGTCGTACCACGCGCACTACGCACTGAAGTTCTGCGCGCTTCCCACGACGACCCGACGTCAGGACACTTGGGTTACTACAAAACATACGAGCGCATCCGCAGTCGATTCTTCTGGCCAGGTGTTTCCACGACAGTAGCTAAATATATTGCCTCGTGCGCACTTTGCCAACACCGCAAGCGGCCCACTACTGCTCCAGTCGGTACCCTACAACCACTTCCTTGTCCATCAGAGCCGTTCTCTGTCGTCGAAATTGACCTCTTCGGGCCCCTCCCAACTACAACAGACGGCAAGAGGTGGATCGTCACCGCGGTTGATCACTTGACCCGGTACGCTGAGACGGCCTCAATTACTTCAGGAAGTGCTTCGGAAGTAGCAACTTTCTTCTTGAATGCTATTTATCTACGTCATGGAGCCCCTCGTGTCCTTTTGAGCGACCGTGGAAAGGCATTTCTTTCAAGCACGCTCAGTGAAGTTCTTCAAGCATCCAAAACAGTTCATAAAACAACATCTAGCTATCACCCGCAAACCAATGGCTTAATGGAAAGATTTCATCGCGCGCTGTGTGACATGCTGTCCATGTATATCCGACCGGACCATCGCAATTGAGATGCCATACTTTCCTTTGTCACGTATGCATGTAATACGTCAGTTCAACGAACCACAGGCTATTCTCCATTTTTTCCAGTATATGGACGCCAACCGACATCACCACTCGACGTTTCATTCTTTTCTGGCCCCGTCAACTCTTCACCATTCGTTTGAGACCAGTTTCTGTCCCGCGTTGCTCGATGCCATCGTCTTGCCCGTGTAAACACCGAAGCTAGCCAAGAAGATCGCAAACATCGTTACGATGCCACTCACCGCGTCGTTCTCTACCGCCCTGGCGACAATGTAGTTCTGTGGACTCCTGCGCGAACGCCTGGCTTATGCGAAAAGTTTGAGTCACGCTATCTTGGCCCTTACAAAGTTATCGAACAGACCTCACCGGTGAACTACCGTGTCACACCTTTTCATGTCCCCTCTGACCAACGCTGCCGCGGGACAGAGATTGTGCACGTTTCGCGTCTCAAGCCCTATTGTATGCGTTCCACGGCGTAATTCGCGGCCAGGCTGGCTGCTTCCGTCGCCGGGGGAAATTAGTCTGAGAATTCATTGTACGTCATCTTCCTCATCTATAAATAACCATCATCAGTCTTCGCCCCGTTCCTCTTCATCATCGGCGCCATCTTGCTGTTGCTTGAATAAAGCGTCAGCTGCACCGTTGTATTTCAGAATAAACAAATAAGTAAATAAATTCAAAAATAAATAATTAACAATAGTTCCACAGCATACAAAAACACATTTGACGCAGCTTTCCGCCTTTGTTTAGGCATGCCCTATGTCATGTAAAAAATACATTAAATGAAGATGAATTGATGACTCCCGTTAGCACACAAAGTGGAGAATATGTGTGCTTTAACGTCCCAAAAGCACCATATGATTATGAGAGACGCCGTAGTGGAGAGCTCCGGAATTTTCGACCACCTGGGGTTCTTTTACGTGCACCCAAATCTGAGCACACGGGCCTACAACATTTCCGCCTCCATTAGAAATGCAGCAGCCACAGCCGGGATTTTATCTCGTGACCTGCGGGTCAGCAGTTTAACACACAAAGTACGGCAGTAAAATGAACTCAATAACGTTAACCATGACCACCATATATTTAACGCACTTTCTTCAAGAGTTTTAGTGCCCTGAAGCTACTTGGTAGAGTATATTGTGTGTCCCTCTTGCGTAAGTCTTTATGCCAAGTGATCACCTCGTTGCTTTGAAGAAACGCTACTTTTGAATGCATGGAAAGGTAATGAGCACAAAAAGAAAACCATGGCAGTCACTCTTTGTTCACAAAGAATAGAATCAGGCCTCGTTAGCATTGAGGGAGAGGAAGAAGAATACAGAGGAAGCGTAAGAAGCAATACTCAACCGCCAGTACATGGCTACCTGCTGTGTCGACGAAAACACCCTTCACTGTCGTCATTGTTTCTGTAAGGTGCCACAGCGTCCACAATACGCCCTTCCTTTCCAATGACCGGTACGGGCATGCGTCATAGAGGTATGTTCAGGCATTTACTTCCGATAAGGATGGATGCTGTGTCCGCTGCCAAGGAGAAGGACTGTTAACGCTGCCCAACAGCCTTGACCCTGGCCGAGAGCATCGCGCCGGCGCACTCACTTAAAGCCTTCTGTCACTGCCTCCACCTCGGCGACCACTTGAACACCGTCTTTGTCGGCCTCAGCGACAACTGTTCTCTTCTTGACGGTGACACGTTTCGTCTTTACTCGTTCGTGCCCAGAGACGTCCCAGAACTTTTTTCGTCTTACTGGTCTTTGTCTCGCCGCCTGGACCTCTCTGGTAGATCACATCGTCCTCTGCCGGCCTTTTCTCCCTTCTCAGTTCCCGTCGTCATTGTCTTTGCGCTTTGGCATTTCGCCCCGGTGCAAGTGTAATCACAGCTGCCACAATTTATGTTGCTTGCTTTAAGTCAGCCATCAATATTCAAAGCATCTGGATCAACAGCGACAGATCAAGAGAGATAGAACAACGGAAAAGAAGAAGGACTTGCCTTAGTCACCTCCGGTGTACTATAGAAAAGGAGCGGAAAATAAAATACGATAAAAAGACAGGTGGGCATATTCACGCGCACATTCGGGGTTTTTTATCGAGTGTACAAATAAGTGTACACATCGAAGGGCTATCCTGAGCGTGAGCGGGTTGAATTACGTTACGATCACATTTTGAGGCAATCAGCAATATCGCGGAAGCTCACTTGCACCAACCTGAGTTGACCATAGAAATATCAGCCGTCATGCAGACACTGCAGAATCAGGGCGTCGATGAAGTATATATAAACATCCTGGAAGAAATCTGCAGGGGATCAACTGCTACCACAGTGCTTCATAAAGAAAGCAACAGAATACCAATCAAGAAGGGTGTGAGGCAGGGGGACACAATCTCCCTAATGCTATTTACCGCGTGCTTACAGGAGGTTTTCAGAAGCCTAGAATGGGAACAGTTAGGGATGAGAGTTTATGCGGAGTACCTTAGTAACCTGCGCTTCGCCGTAGACATTCCATTGCTGAGTAAATCAGGGGACCAATGGCAACTCATGATTACAGAGTTAGACAAGGAGAGCAGATAGGTGGGTCTTAAAATAATCTGCATAAAACGAAAGTAATGTACAACAACCTCGGGAAAGAGCAGCGCTTCGAGATAGGTAATAGTGCAGTTCAAGTTCTAAAGGATTATGTCTACTTAGGGCAGGTAATAACCGCGGAGCCAAACCACGAGATTGAAGTAACTAGAAGACTAAGAATGGGGTGGAGCACATTTGGCAAGCACTCTCAAATCATGACAGGTAGATTGCCACTATCCCCCAAGAGGAAGGTATATAACAGCTGCATCTTGCCGGTACTTAGCTATGTAGCAGTAACCTTGAGACTTACAAAGAGGCTTCAGCTAAAAATTGAGGACGACGCAGCGAGCAATGGAAAAAAAAATGGTAGGTGTAACCTTAAGAGACAAGAATAGAGCTGAGTGGATTAGGGAACAAACGGGTGTTAAGAATATCATAGTTGAAATCAAGAAGTGGAAATGGACATGGGCCAGGCATGAAGCGCATAGACAGGATAACCGCTGGTCATTAAGGGTAACTAAGTGGATTTTCAGAGAAGGCAAGCGGGTTAGGGGGAGACAAGGTTAGGAGGGCAGAAGAGATTAAGAAGTTTGCGGGTATAAATTGGCAGCAGCAAGCACAGGACCGGGTTAATAGGCGGAACAAGGGAGAGGCCTTTGTCCTGCAGTGGACGTATTCAGGCTCATAATGATGATGATGATGATGATGATGATAATGAGTTGACCAATGATCGAGTTTGACAAAAAGATAGAATTTGACAATGTCTATATTAGCACCCCTGTTGCCTTCATGCCTTTCAGTGAGGCTTTCGTTCAATTCTCCGCCTTCTTAGACACATGACTGTGAATGGAAGACTATTGCCTGCTGGCAAGATTCTACAACTGACCGATTACGCAAACGAGCATATTCGCGATAACTATTTCGCAACAAACGAGCCGGGTGGAGCCGAGCAGAGCATCATGGCCGCGAACACATCGGGTAGCCTTCTGTTGGAATTTTGCGAGACGACACTTCATCTTGTGCTGGTCTTGGGCTCTGTGGGTGGAAGGCAGTAATGAACGTTGCTAGGCAAAATATTGTCGCAGGGGAGCGTTCCTTGTCCCATCGCACATGCATCGATCAATGCGCCAACGCCGGATAGCCCCAGGGGCCAGCTCCTGTTGCTCGAGCATCGGCGCTTTTCGTGTCCCGCCAACTGATGCTGGAAACGAGGCACCTTTCTCGAGGTTTCGTGTTGCGCTGTTGCTGCTACGTTGCTGCTGCAAACACGTGCCTCTGAAACACGACGCGACAGCCACTGCCTACGCTCATAGCAGCCGTTTTATTGTGCCCCATAGATTTTTTTTTGTGTGTGTGTGTGTTTCCTATTGCCGGTTGCCAACCACATATAGAGTAGAGCAGCATTTATACCAACACTTGCTCTGTTTCATTTTTTTTATTGACGGTAGAAAGTGCAACCAGTGTTACTTTTATTTTTGTCTTCTGATGCCACAGTGTATCAGATAACCGCGAACCTAAACAGTACGCATGTTTCAGCAGTAGGTCTTTTTGCCTTGCGTCAGCACTTGGACCGTAAGCTCGGAAAGGTTCGCCGAGTCTGTCCAAATCGGATTTCGTATGACCAGTTGCGAAATAGGGCTCCGAGAAAGCCGCGGGGGTGATGCAGTGACCTTCTTTTGCAATTAAAATATAAACAGAAGTTTAAAAAATGTTCGCGTAAAGATATTTCAACACTGTTTGCATCTTTATTGCCAACGCCCCAGCTCCAACCAAATCGCCACTGGAATATTGAGTATCACGTCGAAAAAACATCTTCAATAAAGCCACAGGTGCTAATGAGGTTGTAAAGACACACTGCTAGTATTTACAGTGTTAATATTTTGCCGTCGGTCTCATATCGCGCACATCACATGCCACACCACTGAACGGTGAGGCCTTCAGTACCGCGTTGGTGACGACGTTGATTATTGTTAGCCAACAATCTAGATCAGCATGCCAATCGCATGTCTGATGTTATTGAAGCTCGATGGAATAGAAAAAGTAGAGTACGCAAAAAACCCTATATATATAGATATATATTCTAGAGAGAGGGACACCGAGAGAGAGGGAGAGAAAGAGGCATTATAAACTCTGTAGGGAGCGCATACGTAATGTCCGCATAATATTTTTTGTCGAAGCAGTTTCAAGAATTGGTGGCTTGTTGGTTCTAGTCTAAAGAAAAAAAAATGTGAGGTAAAGGTTCCTTTCGCAAACGCTTTCGCAGAATGATTGAATGATTTGTGGGATTTAACGTCCCAAAACCACTATATGATTATAAAAAACGCCGTAGTGGAGGGCTCCGGAAATTTCGACCACCTGGGGTTCTTCAACGTGCACTTAAATCTGAGCACATTGGCCTACAACATTTCTGCCTGCATCGGAAATGCAGCCGCCGAAACCGGGATTTGATCCCGCGACCTGCGGGTCAGCAGCCGAATACCTTAGCCACTAGACCACCGCGGCGGGGCAAACGCTTTCGCAGAAGTGAAGTGGATGCCTAATTAATCACTCTGACCCTCACCCGTATTTGTGCGCCTCTCTTTGGATGACCTTTTTCACCGAGCCTCACCCTCGCTCATCTTTTCTGTACCCTGATTTGAACCCCCAATTTTTATTCTTTGCGTCTTTCGAGATTTTCGGCTCGAGTATTCACTATTTTACCTAAGTCATGTGAAAGCCACCATATTAGGATGCTTAGCCGATGTTTTCTTAATTGTTTTTTGTATATCGTGACAAATATTATAGGTTTATAAAATATCGTACGAACCGACACAACCGTTTTCGTGCGTATGCGTCAATATTAACACTGTTCGTTTAGTTGTTAAATATGCAAAACACAAAGTTTAACTAGCCTGATATGGTGGCACTGAAACAGTTTATAAACGACACCGTTTAGGCATTTTGCAATCACCAACCCTCTAACGCTGTCACGTTACAACAATAAAGCGTGTCAAGCGTTCGCCTAGGCCTTTGAGGTATAGAAGAGCCGCATGTATCCAAATGAATGTAATGCACACACAGGCAAAAAAAAGGGCCACTTTGGGCAACTTCAATCGAAACGCACCGTCTGAAAGCTGTCAGGCACACTGTCGTAATCATTCTGACAAGAACACCTTGCGACACAGCATTTGTTTTTTTTAATCAAATTTTGACGCGTGGGCAAAGCGTTATGACGCACTTGAGTCACGCTCAAAACGCTCACTGATTTGTGAAGATGCGTGGCTAATATATAAAATGTCTTGGAGCACTGGTGTTTGTCACGCTGTGCACGTAGAGTTATCTCTTCGGGCATTTGACTAAAATACGTGAACTCGAAGTCTCCCGCACTCACCACGCGTGCTCCTGTCCTCAACAAAGTCGGGCTGCTATTTCAATACGCAAGTTATAGGATTTCCTCGTCTCTACGAAAGGTGGGCACTTGTCTCGTGCTTTGCTAGTGTTGTCTTTTACCCCTTTTTTTTCGGCACCAGGCTCTACTCTCAGCGCTCGCTATTTGCGGGAAAGCACTTTAGTACGCCAGCAGATTGTCGCAATATTCCGCTATTTTAAGCCTTCTCGCGTGCTTTAATCTCCCAAAGAATGAAGTGGCTACTGCGATTAGGTTACCTGGATAACGGGCCGGAACTTTGTTTTTTCTGTGCGACCGGAATATTTTTAGATTGCTGAGCCATACACATTTACAGGCAAGTTGAATTAGTTATAGTCCACGAAGAAAGAAAAATTTCCCAGAACAAAACAGCCACTTTTGGCACATGTAACGGAATGAATTGACAGAAAGCTAGGTGCTGAGCTGATGCCGTGTCTTTTGGCTGTTATCTCGTTTTTTTGTCGTTTTTTGTTGCTTCTTGAGTATTTGAACGCACTATGTACCTATACCAAGCTACAAGTTGATGTCCTATTTCTTATAACGCAATGTTGATGGCAAGGTTAGTGGACACATATTGTCTATACGCTGAAATTTCACATGCAGTAGACCTAAAACCCACGAATGTGGCGCAGTTATCTGTACAGCGGCGTCCAACGCCTAAACTTTACTAGGTCCAAGAAAATTTCTAATTTATAACCACTTTCTGACTGAATTCGGTCGATTGGCACAGAACACGCTGTATGCGCGTTTTAGAACTCACCAGAAATTTTACCGGCTGAAGCAGCGGCAATATTTCGCTTTTTATGACATCTCGTTGCGTCTGGACTTTTGATTCTAATTTTACATTTAAGCCGAAGAGCAACGAAAGGTTTGTGTACAAGAAAAAAACAACAACTGGCCATTTGATATTCTCCACTTCATCACTCCTATTTGCGGTTTCGAACACTAAGAAATATTATTGAACTTTTTGAAGGAACGTGTGTTTTTACTATCAACGCGCATCCTTAAACGGCATATAACAAGGTTCTCCCAACGAATGACCGTCGTGAGGTAGAAGACAGCGAGGCATAACCACTCACGCACTTTGACACAAAGGAAACTGCGATTTAAATTGCGCACATTGTCCACCACTGTGGCTGTGCCTTGCGCCATGAAATCATGAAAGAATGAGAGTTGTTCTTTTTGGGTGCACGGTAAAGAACCCCAGGAAGTCGAAATTTCCGGAGCCCTCCTCTACGGCGTCTCTCATAATCATATTGTGGTTTCGGG